GATGGAATCTCGTGAGAAGAACCAAGCTCGGATTCCGGCATCCCGTAGTTCCAAAGCGTAAACCTATCGCCGTCAATACTATGCACTGTATGACTCATGTGTAATTATGGGAGACTTACCCCGCCGCCATTTTCATTCATTTCTTGTCCGTACGTTCTTGGCGAGCCTTGTACGCCACATCCAGCATTGCTATGCGTGCTGTTGTCGCAGGTCACGTAATTTGGCGTACCGGTTTCCTTCCGCTTGACATTCATTTTACAACCGCTGGTTGTATGCAATGTAACGGCATTTCCCTCGGTGGCCAGGTTATTCGTCTCAACCACGTCAATCTCCCCGTTCTCGGGCCAATTGTAGGTATCAGTTAACCACAGTGCTGGCCACAGGCCACAGCCGTAAGGCGTGTGGATGATGTCGAAGATGAAGAGTCCACTATCGTAACTTGTTTTTGATTCCAGACGCACAGACTGTCTCCCTTTGGTTGCATTCTTGTTGGATGTATCCACCTTGAGCACAACGGAGTCTTCGCCAACATAGGTCAGATTCAAAGAGTTTGATGTTGACTGGTTGACATATCTATACAGCGTTAGTTGATACCAATGAGTCAGGGAATGGGATAACCATACTGGACAAATCCATCAGTGGGGTCCTCGTCAGAATAGTAGTTGAACCGATCAAAAAACGAGTTGCCCGAATACGTGTCCACCAGCTTGTAATCGAGCTTGGAATAGTCGGGATAGCTTTTCTTTTTCGTCCCTTCGACTGCACCAACAACGACCGCAATGATGATGGCAATAATGACGGCTGCGATGATCAACTTTTTTCGTAGCGACCAGCCGCGAGGGTCATACCAGGAATACTGGGCGACCGTCCGCTGCGGAGGTATAAACTGTCCGGATCCTGGCGGAGGGGGTGGCCCTGCATGACCGAGATCATCGTCTAATTTGGGAAGCTGACTGGTGGCGCCCCCATACCTGCTGTATTCAGTGCCGGGTGTATAGTACTGCTTATCGGCCATGGTGGCCAGAGCTTATCGGACAGACAGAAACAGAGAAAGCGATATAATTAAAATAAAACGATGTGTATCCAACTATCTTCCCAGTAAACGAATGTATGTAGCTAGTAGAATTGACAACGAGAAAGTTGAGGAGATGATCATGCAGTCGCCGGGCGGGATGGTGTCATAAAGATCTGCGAGTCAGACTGGCGTTACCTTAACGATCATGGCCTGATTAGGCAATCAGCAGTCGCAACCGGGAAGTAATCTTGGAGCAATTCTATATGCGGAGGTTGCGTCCACAACTCTGCAATATGTTGAGAGAAAGACGGTAACACCAAGATAAGGTCAAAAGAATGAGATGGCTGGTTCTAGGAGATAACTTTGGCTGTCTCTGCAGCTCAATGCTGGATCATCGATAGGCAAGGAACCATTGCGTTGTCTGGGATATTTCCAGAATCAGCAGCGTATGTTCTGTTTGCACGGTCCCTGACGACGCTTGTCTCAGTTGGGAAGGTGACCCCTGGACCCTGTCCAGCAGCTTAGTCACCTCCATGATCATGACAGACATTCAAGAAGTTGCTATAACATATAGCAGCTGTGGAATGAAAAGATATTCTGGGTTGAAATAGTTATTTAAAACCGCATCTAGCTTGAGAAGTGGAAATGTCATGGCGACCTGTCATCTGTTCTAAATTTAGTGACACGGGCGGCCCCAACAGTGAACCGAGACAGAAGTGCAGCCAAATGAGGGGCCATGGAACAAGCCTTCTGTGGATGGAGACACAAAGACTATTGTGAGGAATGCCAGACTTAGCAGAACTAATATATGATTCAGTCTATGATATTATACTCAGTAGAAACAATCAATGAATCAGGGTAATCTTCAATTGAGGTCAGAGTTTGAACTTTCATGATTACCGACCCCAAAAAGCACTTATGACAATAGCGCGCCCGCTGTCAGCCTAATAAACCCAACATTTGATCTTTGATCAGCATCGCACATAAAAAAGAATCATCTCGCAAAAACACTCGGCTATGCAAGTCCCATCCCATCGCAAATCCCGCCAAGCAAACCTGCACCTCAATAGCGCCATGCAGCCCAATCTAGCGTTCACCACGGCCAAGCATAGTGCGAAATGACTAACAACATCGCTAGTGCCTCTGGGAAATACACCTTGAACCGTCGTGGTCTCCAACCTTCATCGTACGGCAGACGCTCTTCGCCAAAGACAGCGCGCACATAGTCATCCGGGATGCCCTTCGTGACACCCTTCCCAAAGACACTTCGCAGAGCTGCCACTTCAGAACATGCAACGTAGTGTTCGAACTTCCCGAATTGCAGGTGTGGATTGTCCCTCTGCTGCTCATCATATCGGACCTTTCGATACCTTCCCATGAGCGTGGTGTGAAACCTGCCTCCCTTCGCTGTTCGAAGGAATTGTTTATAGAGGTCAGGGTCTAGGTGGATGCAGTCGCCCAATGCGCGGTCTTGACGGGTGATTGAGACGTCGTGTTCCAAAGCATGAGGACGGCCGACTTGATCGAGGTTGAGCACGGGGATCCCGTCTTGATTCACTTGGCCTGGATCGCGTAGCCCAACTTGGGAGCTTCCTGGTGGTCCGTGTTTTGGGTCGTCGGAGTGGACTTGGAAGACGCGACTTACGAGAACAGAGGCTATGTCTAAGCCTAATCCGACATATCGAATGGCTGATTTCAGCTCAGCGGCGGTGATTAATTTTCCGTCTCGCGCGATATAGCCATGGTTGGCAAGGGAGTTTAGGACCGGACATGGAGAACGTAGGTCGTCTGGTCCTGCGGGATGGTACTGGCCCTTATGGAGCTCCATTTTCAAGGATGAGGAGCGAAGGACGAGAGGAATTAGACAGGCATGCTTGCTTTCTATATGCATCATCATGACGGGAGGGGCCTGGAATGGTCAGCCTAGGCTGGGGAACGGGTGACTGCGGCGCCTCGATCACGAGCATCGCGGCCCCCTGGAATACGACGTTCCTTCAAGCCAGGATTACATTCACGCATCAACCCTGGCAGTCCAGTCAAGGTCAGCTGGGTCTATTATACACTCATCTATGGTAACATCTCTTGAAGAACCCCAGCAGGTATCTTCAGGTGCATCTATCCACAAACTCTTCAAGCATCTTGTTCAGCTCGTGCTCCCTCTCCCAGCCCAGCATATGGCCGCTGCCTTCGAAGACCTTCCATTGGATCCCATCACCGATCTCCTCGCGTATTATTTCCCCATGACGAAACGTCAGCATCAAGTCTCTAGTGCCATGGCACACGAAGATCCGCTCTCTTCCCACTTGATCTCCTAATAATTTGAGCTGCTCCGCTGACTTGTGATGGAAATAGCAAGCCAACACCTGCATCATGAATCCTTTCTTCGTATGCGCTTCGGTGTCCGCACGCTTATGCAGCATACCAGCAGCAAACCGATCACGCTTGGTCGGAAAGTTCATCGCCGGGTCCTCGTACTCCGTGTCTGGTTCGGCGAGGAAGTCTTCGGGGAAGAGACTCCTTGCCATCCTCTCGAGCTCTATGTCGACATGGCGGGGAATGAACATGCCCGCCCGTTCACGCAAGTTTTCGAGGAATGGACCTGTCCGAACCAATCGCGGAGCCGTACAACTGAGGGTCAGGCTCAATAAGCGATCGGGAATGAGCATTCCAATCTCTTGGGCGATCATGCCACCCATGCTAGCACCGATGACATGAATCGATCGTTTCGGAGGAGTAGCAAGATCGATCCAGCCCAGCGATGCGACCAGGTCCACCACATCTCGAGCCATCTCCGATGTGGAATAATAGGCGACCGGCTTATCCGACCGGCCGACTCCACGGTTGTCAAAGACCAGACATGAATATTTGGAAGCTTGCTGGTGACCAAAGTATTTGGTCTGACGCCTCCAGTCCTTAAGCGTTGCATTGAGACCCATTACCCACTATGACCCATGTCAGTGCTACCGCACATGGGGGTCATGGAACATACTCATACTTACCACAAGCTTCACGGGGCCAGTGCCATGGATCTCATAGTTGATGTTCAGGGGCCCTCCTCGCCTGTTTTGCGCCACGGTACATGATCCAGAGGTTGTGGCGGGAAGGTCATAATTGATGGTGTTGTATGCGGGATGCTTGATGACTTCCTCGGCAAGGAGTGGCGCCATGTCTTCTAATTTATTAGAGGTCTAAACTTGAAGAGTTGTGATCTAGGAAAGGTGATCAGAGGATAAGGGCGTGGACCATGTCAAAACCGGGCAGCTCCTCACATGCCGTTTTTCCTTTTCTTGGCAGGAGTCATCCGAGGCCGCCGTGTGATCCATTCTGTTCCTGTCGATGATCTCACTTCCCGCTTTGGGGTTGCTTGTGTTACCCATCAGCTGACTGGCGTCATCCTCGATGAGATGTGCGGGGATTTCTTTTCAGCTAGTACTTACAATAGATCCCCTTCAATTCATTGCATCTGTATGGCTGGAATAACGTGTTTGCGACGATGGCAGACACGGCTCTAAGGCGTTGACGTGCAATCTGGCTCTCAATAATCTACACCCAGACAGCTACAGAACTCATCTGTGCCTCCTCATAAATTATGTTTATGTAAGGCATGACCAATACCTCGGCTTGAGCTTCTTCATGTAACTTTTTGTGACGTCTCAACCTTGACGTGCGATACTCAGCTTCTAAGAATGTCGACTAGGGAATTAGCCAAACCACATAGAATTAGAAACCTTTAATCAAAACATCAATCATTTGATTCATTCATTCCAGCTACAAGCACCGTAATAACGAATGATGAGTAGTCAGTGCAGTGGAGATATTCAAATCTCGTAACGTTATCACAGCTTATCAGTCCAGCTTCGACTCCAACACCATGCGGGGGTGCCATTGACCCACCATCTCCAACTCGACAATTGCTTAACATCCCCTCTACTCCCTACTATCCCCACGAAGCAGTAAGAAAAAAACACAATTATTTGAAACCACAATGGCACCAACTCGCCGCGTCGCCATCATTCAATGGAACATCAAAGTACACAATACCTCTTCCCCACCCCGAATCACCCCTCATTCTAACAACCCCAGGACCTCGCCATCGACGAGAACCACCAAACAGCATGCACCTACATCCGTGATGCCGCATCCCAAGGCGCCGAACTGGCCGTTCTCCCAGAGTACTACCACCCCTTCCTATCTCCCTCCTCAATTACACACTCACTCACAAATCCCAAAACCTAGATACCACCTAACCGGCTGGGCCCCCTCCAACCCAACCTGGACTGCCCTCGCCTCCAAAATAACCCCCTACCTCGAAGCATACCAATCTCTTGCCCGCGAACTCAACATCTGCATTGTCCCCGGCACCATAGTCGAGCACCATGGCCCTTCCCCGAACGAACAAGAACAAGACCAACCACTCCTCTACAACACCGCCTACTTCATCTCCAACGACGGGAGTATCCTAGGCCACTACCGCAAGAAGAACATCTGGCACCCTGAACGGCCCTACCTCACTTCTTCCGGGAGTGATCCACATGAAGTATTCGATACGCCGATCGGCAAGGTAGGGTTGCTCATCTGCTGGGATTTGGCGTTTCCGGAGGCCTTCCGGGAATTGATTTGTAAGGGGGCGGAGGTGGTCGTTATACCTACTTACTGTAAGATCCAATCCATCTTCCCGTTAATTTTGAGACATTTCTTTATGCTGATTGATCTACGAATGAATAGGGAGCAAATACGACGCCTCCCCCGCTGCCCTTCAACACAACCCCAACTCCGAAGCATTATTCCTTGAAACGACGCTCACGGCGCGTTGCTTCGAGAATACCTGTGGGATTATCTTCGCCAATGTGGCGAGGGGAAAGGAAGACGAGAGTGATCGATTCTTGGGTCTGTCGAGGGTATGTTTGCCCATTGTGGGGACGGTGGGTGCTATGGGGGATGAGGAGGGTGTGTTGGTGGTGGATATGGATATGGGGGTGGTGAGGATCGCGGAGGAGAATTATCGTGTTAGGGAGGATTTGGCTAAGGAGGGGTGGTATTATACGTATAGACATCAGAGGTGATTCATGTAAATAGAATTATAGTATAGACGGAGATGAAACAGGTTTATCTCTGAAGATACAGCGCCCTTTTCCTTTCGTTCTTGCTTGCTTGCTTCTGGAGATTTTCAATTCTTTTCGCCTGTGATCGCTTAATCGATCCTCGCCTTGAGAGAGCACCGATCCTCATGAACTCGCAACATCCATCAAACAATCATCCACCATCCTTGATGTCCGCTTTATAGCACAAGTAAGCGACACACACCAGCGAGGGCTACTCGACAGTACCAGGTAGACAGACCACTATTGGCGGTAGCAAGTAGAACCAAGATATACCCTTCTTCCTTACACTGATCCATCATATTCTCTATCCCTATTCTCCTCCTCTGCCCTCTTCCAAAATTCTCGATCACGCAGCTCAATGAAAGCTTCGCTGTGCCATCTGGCCTATACCTTCCCGTCAGTTAGCCTCTATATCCTCACAACAGAATGGAGAAATATATGAAGTGAAGTCAACTCACCTCATAGATAGTTTTTTCCATTGATCCACCAGCGCAAACTAGACATTGAGATTCCCCAAAGCGTCATCTAGAGAGTCCAAATGTAGCCAGTCATACTGTGGTGGCTGCAGCCAAGCACAATATATCCCGAAAGCAGGATTGTTTTCCAGCAGATGGAATCCTCATTGGCGACCTGCAGATATATATTATTGTTCTAGCGACTTCGGCGACGGGACATGATTGCAAGATGGATATATATGGGTATTCGAGCTGGTGTAAGACATCCTGGTGGTGGTTGTTAGAGGCAGTGAACTCAGAGGGAGATGGCTGATTTACTTACCTTGGTGCCATGCCACGTCAGGCCAGTATTACGTCGATACAGTTGTGATGGTAGTAGTACTAGGTGGAAGCATTGAGCTTCTGGTTCACAATGTTCTTACGTGTGCGGTATTTCTGTAACCCGCTTGCTAAGTACTTAGAACTTAGAGGCGCTGTCGCGGAACATCATCTTCATTTGAGGGTTTCTCCTTCAGTTGGCATTGGTGTATATATTATGAAGAGGATTGAGCTGGAGAAATTCGTAGTTATAATTTCTTAAGAAGGGAGACAATAATGAGATATAATATCATAGAGAAGATGTCAAAGATGAAGTAGAAAGTTAAGTCCTCCCAGGAGAACGAAGTGGGAAGATTATATATACCCCTTCCACCCTGGTGGATTCCCAGTGAATATAACCCCCCTCTTTTTTTTTTTTTTTGTCTTATTCACATCATCTTTGTCTCATCTGTCACTCTCAAGGCTATCAAAGTACATCGTACGCTAAGATACCTTCACAGCGTAGCAGTAACATGTATATCATCTGAGTTTCTGATACTCCACCTACAGCGCATCATCGTGGGAAATTTATAGTAGCTTTCCTACGGCTTAGTAGTTGGTAAACCCCATTCCCTTGATGGCAACTTCCTTGTTCACGCAGGTGCCAGTGGCAAGCCCCGGCATTATATGTCTCCCAGTATCTATTGTAACAGTCAATTGAAACGATCTTCCCAGTAAATATCACAAGTGCACAAAAGATGTCCATGATGGTTGAAGAATCAACAATGCTTATTGGTCCATAATGAATACATTTAGCTGAATAGGATCCACTGCGTTACACGCTATTAACTGATCTGGTATAGTGTCTTGCTGTCACATCAGTCATACTGAGTGAATGAGTATAGTGAAACAGTCCAAGTATCCATTAGATTTATTGTTGGGTGAACTTATTCTGATCGGGCTTGTTTCATGACTACTCTATATTTATTGTACTAAGCATCGCCGCACAGCACTACTATACATCATGGCACTGACTGCTAAACTGCAACCGTCTGAATTCTAAAAAGGGAAAAAACCACAATCATCCACAATCATTAGGCGATACAAATTCGTGAAAATCTTGGTCAAACCTGTCGTCCAGTCTTACCACATGCGGCCGTGGAACCCTGGCATCAGAAGAAAGTATAAACATAAGGCATAAACTCCTCCGAGACAGAACCCCCATAACACAGGCCCCAGCATGATATCACTGAACGGGAACGCAACCGGGTGTATAGATCAAAACTAACCATCCAACAACGCCGTCCCTTATTGAACCTGGCTGACGATCTCGCTGGCCCGGGAAAGGCTCTCCACCATCTGCTGGCACTCTTTCCGCCGGCGGACCGTGTAGTCGCTTTCTTTCAGCAGGTCGTCCAGCTCGCTGTTGCGGTACATGTTCTCGAGAAGCTCGCGCTGCATCTCATCCTTGGTGAACCTGGATCGGGGTTAGCGGTGGTCATGCGGACAAGGCGGAGGATACATACTGGACGAGAGTGTACATGATGGCCTTGGGCACCATATCAATCATGGTCCGCTTCACAATGTTAAAGTACGAAGTGATCAGGAGCTCTGTTGATCATTAGTATCCAACCTCTCCATAGAGGAATTTCGCTGCACTTACTGACGACCTCAACCTCCACGCTCTCCCGCTCCGACAAAGAGGCAGACGCCTTCAGGGTCGGCGGTGGCGGCTCCATGGCAGCCATCTTCTTCTTGTTCTTCGAAGCCCAGAAGCTGCCGAAGAACCCACCGGAGTTGGTGTTGTCCACAGGAACCTCAACCGACGGGCTGTTCGCCCGCGGGGGCAGAGGCTTGCCAGTCTTCGGGTCCACTTGAGTCGGCTTGCCTGCGGTTTGACGCTCGTTGACGATAGTCATGGCCTATTCAGTCAGTATATCGTAGGTATCGTAGGATGCCAGTGGGACTTACGCGGTGTCCGTTCAGGAAATCAGGGTGACCCGTGTTGATGTAGCACGCCTCCATGTTGACCAGGTCACGCACAAGCTTGTTGGTCGGCTCCATGGACTTCTTGAAGAAGCCAATTACAACCGCGTGGAATTTCTCCTTCAGCATGGGGTAGCGCCGGAACAGCGACTTGTTCAGGAGCTGACCCAGGATGCGGACAAGTTCGTCGTAGACCAACGAGATACACTTCAAGCTGGGGTCCTCCAGGCGCTTGATCTGCTGCTTCACGATCAATTCGAAAGCAGTGGTGCCCACAAACAGTGCTGGTGAGGGACCAGAGGAGTTGTAGAGGATGGTGCGAATATCAATGTCCTTCACATGGTCGAATGGGTCGACGGCCTTGATACCGTTGGAGTAGAGCTCATGGAACACGAAGCTGATACGCGCACCGCCGGACAGCTCGATACTAGACAGCTCCTGGTTGCTTCCCTCCAACACTGTGCGGTACTCGTTGCTGAACTCCGTGATAATGTTGAGGACGATATTAGCACTGTTTCCGAGCATCGAGTCACCGAGCTGTGACAGTTCCGAGGAGTACTTCTGAAGGGAGGACGAAATGCGCGCTTTGATATCGGGAAGGGTTTGCTTAATGTGCATCATAAGGATCTACCAACGTCAGTTCGAGTTCTCGGACCACAATGTCAAAGAAACGTACCAAATTCAATTTCCTGGCGAGATAAGGAGTTCCGCAGTACGATGACTTGTTGCGATAAGCCTTGTGACCCTCGAAGAAGTTCTTCTCGTGCTCCAGGGCATATGCGATAGGCCGCTTGTTCTCAATATCACGCTGACCACGGTTGACGACCGGCACATAACCCAGACGCAGAGGGATAATCCTGCCCGCAAGAATATCCACAACATCGGTACCCTCGTCCATCAAATCGACCTTGGTCAACACACCGATCGTGCGTTGACCCTCCGGGTCGACCTCCCGCGCCAGCTTCAGACCATCCGAGTTGGCCAGATCCTGGTTGGCGGACGTGACGGCCAGGATGATAGCGTTCGGCTTGCTGATGTACTTCAAAACCATGTCACGGATCTGACGCTCAATATCCTTGGGCTGGTCACCCACGGGGACCTTGGTCAAACCGGGCAAGTCGACGAGTGTGAGGGTCAAGACATTAGGCGAGTAAATTCGCAGGTTGATAGGAGCGGGCGAGATACCGGCATTGCGACCGACCTTGGACTCGGTTTCGCGCACAATCTCCTCGCGGATCTTGTTGAAATCGTAGAACTTCTGGCCGGGGATGTGAAGAAACTCGCCGTACTCGTCGATGTTGGCCTCCTTATCCGTCGTCTCCAGGGCCTCCTCCTTCACACCGTTTGTTTGCGAACCAGCGGGCCTGTTGATAAGTTGCAGTACGAGGGGTCTCCGAGTGACAATTCCGGAACCACGAGGCAGGCTAGGCAACGACAAGAATGCCGGTTAGGCTGCTGCGACCAGACAAGAAACGAAGGGACCATGTCAACCACTTACAAATCCCGGCCAACAATGTTCTCTAGAACGGAACTCTTTCCACTGGACTGCGAACCGACGACGGCAATCTGGGGCAGATCGATGGGGTTCTGAACCTAAATGGAACAGGCGGTGTCAGTTCGGCGGAGGGGCTGCGATGCAGGAGAGCTCCACGGGAGGGGATGACTTACTCCAACCGTCGCAAAGACATCCTGCAGCTTGTTCACCAGCGAGATCAAGCTGGGATCGTTGACATTTATCCTGCGGGCACGATGAGGTCAGCCAGGCGAATCGGAGGTACAAGCATGAGAGGGACCAGGGGGTTGCGCACGAGAAGCCAGTAGTTGGGCTTGCCATGGCTGGCAACGAGGAATAGAGGATGGACGCTCCAAATTAATAAAGGCAGTAAATATAGAAGAAAGAAAGCAACAGTCTAGACAATGTCCGTAGAGCGATTGTCCGTTCAGGGGGGTGTAGACCAGAATGCGTGGAGGATGTTTGGGGGGGTGGATTGAAAGGGAAGAGGGAGAGCGAAGGCGGGAAGGGCCAAGTGGAGAGTTTCGCTTCGGTCCAGATCAGAGCAATCGATAGCAGCGATACGGCGGCCTACACTGCCTGCTCTGCCTGCCAAAAACGATAAACGTTTACCCACCGAACCGGGACCCTGACAGTGGCAAATGGAAGGGCGACAAACGGGCTCCCGACTGTGGATGGAGGTACCCGATGGACCACACATTGGGAATCCCTACCATGAGAGCGAATGGGCAAGGCCGCGTCATGTGGATTTGGCCACCCAAAAGCGGCCAGACAATGGCTACTTTCAGCAAATGACTGAATGATGCTGCCTGACTGACTCACGCACAACACAACTCTCCTAAGTAGTTACTTTGAGTCTGACGTTCGATAAATGGAAGCTTCTCGAAACGGAAATTCTTCAAGGCAACGGCAATAACTACATATACTGGGAATTTGCTATGCTACAAGCTCGGGAATATAAAATAGACAGCACGCCTCCCCGGTCTAGCCCGGTAAATATGTCCTCCTCTACTCATCCGACACCGAAGCAAACCGCTCCGACATTTGCTGGAGGATCTTCTCGTACTGCAACAGAGTTAGAATACACAATACTTAAGAACGGAGGCATCTGGCTTACCTTCTCGGAGACTTCCGCCTCGTTGGTCGGCACCTCGAACTTCATGCCCCGGAGCGAGCTCTGAATGTCCGTAGTGGCGTCACGAACCTTGGACCAGTTCTGGCCCTGGGCAACCGCCTTCTGGGCTTCATCGTGGTAGCCCATGAACGCCTTCATCATGTACTCGGTCTTCCACAGCGGGCAGAACTGATCGTAGTCACTGTAACCGTTCTGCTGCAGGAAGTCATCCTTGACCATGGCAGCCACATCCAGGGTGATCTTGTCGGAGTCACCCAGAGCGGCCTTACCAACCAGCTGCACGACCTGGTCCAAATCCTCCGACTTGGTCAGAAGCTCTCTGACCTGGTCACGCAGGCGAGGGAACTCGGGGTGATGCTTTTCGTAGTACCGGTCCAGAACCGTTGTGTACTTGCTGTAAGAGATCGACGTGTTGATCGACGGAAAATGTTTACGCTGAGCCAACTTCTTGTCCAGACCCCAGAACACCTGGACAATACCCAGGGTACTACTGGTGACGGGATCCGAGAAGTCACCACCCGGAGGGCTGACGGCAGCGACAATGCTGACACTACCAATTCTCTCGGGGCTACCCAAGGCGTTACTCTTACCGGCACGCTCGTAGAAGGAAGCCAGCTTGGCACCAAGGTAGGCGGGGAAACCCTGGTCAGCCGGCATCTCTCCCAGACGACCGGAAATCTCACGAAGAGCCTCAGCCCAGCGGGAACTGGAATCCGCCATCATAGCCACGTTCTTGCCCTGGTCACGGAAGTATTCGGCGATCGTAATACCGGTGTAGATGGACGCCTCACGGGCGGCGACAGGCATGTTGGAGGTGTTGGCGATCAGGCAGGTACGCTTCATGATGGGTTCTTTGCGGCCATCGACGTCAATGGAAAGCTATTGTTGCGATCGTTTGTTAGTCACTAGATGTCTGATGTAGGATGGGGCACTAACTTCGGGGAAATCCATCAACACTTCAGCCATCTCGTTACCACGCTCACCACAACCGACGTAGACAATGATATCACTGTTGGAGAACTTGGAGACACTCTGGGAGATGACAGTCTTTCCACATCCGAAGGCACCAGGGATACAGACAGTACCACCCTGGACACTAGGGAACAGGGAGTCCAGCACTCGCTGACCGACGATGAAAGGTGCGTCCGACGAGAGCTTCTCGTTGACCGGTCTGGGCACACGGACAGGCCAGGTGTGCATCATGCTGTGTTCCGTCTTGACTCCATTGAACTCGATTTCCAGCAGCTTCTCCTCGACAGTGTAGCTTCCCGCCTCGGCTATGCGGGTGATGGTACCCCTCGCGCGGGGAGGGAGGATGATCTTGTGGTCGTTCACCAAGCTGTTCTCGAAAACGGTACCCCAGATGTCACCACCGGTGATGTGATCGCCGACCTTGTACTTGCCGGGCTTGAAGTCCCACTTCTTCTCACGATCCAGGGCGTTAACCGCGATACCACGGGGGATGTAGATACCCTTGGACTGGTCGGAGATCGCCTTCAGGGGCCGCTGAATTCCATCGTAAATCGTTTCCATCAAACCGGGGCCCAGCTCGACCGACAGGGGCTTTCCTGTCCGTGTCACGGGGTCGCCGACTGTCAAACCAGCTAGAGAAAGTGGCAGTTAGACAAGGAGGTTGTGGGGAGCCCGGAGGGGTTGGCGGATGTACCTGTCTCCTCGTAGACCTGAATGGTGGCCTTATCGCCATCGATCCGAATGACTTCTCCGACCAGCTGGTCATGACCGACACGGCACTACAGTCGATGCCCGGTGTTAGCGATTAAGAGTTGCAGATGCGTAAACCTAGAAGCGCAGTATCTGGCGGCGGGAAAACACATGGGGAAGCATACCAGCTCGTACATGGCACAGCCGATCATATGCTCGGCCACGACGACGGGACCGGAGACGGAGAAGACGGAACCATGTTGGCTCTCGCCAGCATCAGCGGAGGGGGCCATGGTGCGTGAAGCAGGGAGGTGAATGACAGGAGTGGACAGCGCGGGGGAGGGGGAGGGATGGATGGGGGAAGGAGGAGAAGAAGAGGAGGAGGAGCTGTCGCTGCAGGATGATGAAGTGGGCGACACGGGGAGCGGTGGCAGTTGCGGGCTGTCTAGTCCAGGCGGTGATGACGACCTCGAACCGACTGGCTGTTCGTCTCCTTCGTGATGCGCAATCAAATCAAGCAGCGAGGGGCGTGCTTTGAGTCGTCGCACACCTAATCCTAGCATTCGCTCGGAAAAATCATAATATTAATACAATATCTAGAAGATTGACAATTCGGAGGTATCAACTACTAGTGGCCCCTGATGAGCGATTGCCCGTGTGGTCCTTGCGGTATTGCGTGTTTACTCAGCCCGCCTTATCAAAACGGTGCCGCTTCAGCTTCTTGGTCTCTCCACATCAAATGTTAAGCCACCAGCCATCATCATGTCCACCTCTCCACTACATAGTAGGTTGGGTGAGAAGCCCATAGTAACTGCTTCTGAGAACTCTTCAGTGGTTGTAGGAGTTTGTTAGCCAACAATAGGCTGCTTTCCCGCAAAAAAGGCTTCTTGACGATGGGAATCTTCATACTCATCCCTAAAACGCTACACCGAACACCCATGTTGCCCATCCCAAGGACTTCTCTACGCTCTGCGAAGTGAGCTTTCCGTAGAACCATACGCTTTCACCAACAGTGGATTATTCCACATGCCACCCCTCGCGCGTTCGAAGCCTCTTACGTCGTCTGCTTGCCTGGCAAGCCATTGACAGGTTTCCGTTTTGATCCCATGGAAACTGCCCTCTATGGACCATTCCATTCGCCCGGGGTTTGATCTCATCGGAGGATCGAAGAATCCGTCCCTGATACAAGTAGAAGACAAGTGACGTGATGGCACTTCGCCAGATGTAAGTTGAAAGATTTCAGGACACGCATGTTCCGTCATCCATCCTTCTTGCCCCAGTTGTTGTCCCTTCTACGACGCCTCGTATGTGCGAATCGACATAATGGATTCATCAAAAATCTACACCTATTGGGACCATACGTTCGCATGGTCGCCCCTTCATCAGACGAGGGAACAGTTGCGTTCAAAGATCCACACTTATGACAGGCTTGGGGATGAATGTATCGACAAGATCAATGCTATCGGCCGTCAGGTAGTTAATCAAGACAGGCAAAACGATCCAGACAGAAAGTTACCCGATCTGGATGTGTACATCATGCTGAAGGATCACGCAAAAGATGATCCGAGGCTTAGTGAACTCTGGGCACAAGTCAACACAGTGCCGGACTGGGTTGATTGGCAGCAGATCAAACGGGGACAGGAGGTGTTCTTCCGTTATGGGCTTCCCATCCTGAACGTGGTAAGTCTAGCATCTAATCTAGTGAGAAGTCCAAGCATAAGCACTGATAAATACCAGCTGAACTTCGAAAGCCTCTTGGGCGGCATGTTAGTCACTCTCAGAAATTTCCACCAGGCTTCGACTTATTCCTACTTAGGGGCTCACCAAGTGTCGTTAAGGCCTTAACCTTATGTGGAGGCTTCAACAATACATATGTCGTGCGGAAGAGACTACTGGAGACCCTACAGTTTATCCTCCAGGTCTCTGAATCCGTTGACGCAATGAAGCCAGGCGGTGTTGGTAACATCTCATCCATCCGCGTTCGGCTGCTGCATGCTTATCTTCGCTCCATGATTTGTGTTCGGGAAAGGTATGACAATGAGAGGCACGGAGTCCCTATAAACGACCTTGACAGCCTTGCAACAATTAGCAGTTTCTCGTCCATCATCATCTGGCTTGGCCTCCCCCGGCAAGGTATCTGGCTCCGCAAGCAAGAGATAGACGACTACCTAGCTCTCTGGAGGCTGGTAGCCTACTACCTAGGGGTTCCAGACGAACCTTTTGCTAGCCAGCAAACCGCACGGGCGCTAATGGAATCTCTCCTTGTATCGGAGGTGGATCCTATAAAAATTGGTAGAGTCCTAGCCCGTAATATACTCCACGGCCTGGAGAACAAAGCCCCAGCGCATGCTTCAATGGGATTCATGGAGGCTATGGTTCGACGACTAAATGGGAAGCAACTCTCTGACAGCCTTCAAATCCCTCAGCCCACACTGTACTATCGGGTTCTGATATACGGGTACTGCTTCTTTGTCATGGCGTTAGCATATGGTACCCGGTTGTTTCCGAAGCTCGATCAGAGGTT